GAAGACCCCTACCCTTTCTTCATTCCACTACTGATTTATATGCCCTCCCAGTCATCCTATTTTAATCCATCTTTTCTATATGTCCGAACCATCTCAACAACTCTGCCTTCTGGATTATCTGCATAATATTCACACCACACACTGCCCTCAGACACATGTCCATTGCTTCCAGCCTTTTCCATGTTGCAAAATTCATAGCCCATGCTTCACACCCAGTGAAGCATGGGTGGTACCACTATATTCTCGTACATTTCCCTCTTTGTTTCGACAGACTGCTTTATGCACCACTCACCTTTTTCCACTCATCAATTCTGTGTTTCACCTCGTCTCTTACAGACCAATCTGCTGCCAAGTCCACTCTCAAATATCTGAATACATTCACTTCCTGCATTCATCCTCTCTCCAATCTCATACAGTCTTTCTTTATCTGTTTTATTTTTGTTATTTTTATCACCTTGCTCTTCTCTGTGATTACATTTGATTTCCTCCTTTTACATACCCTACCAAACTCGTCAACCTACCTTTGCAACATCTCTTCAGAATCTTCTAAAAGCGCAGTGGTATCACGCAAAAGCAACTGTAAGAACTCTACCTTTGTGTTAGATAAATTTATCTCTTAATTCCACACCTCTTCTTAACACATGGGCATTCACTTCTTTTAAAACCCCATATATAAATACATTGAACAACTATAGTGACATCAGGCATCCCTGTCTAAGGGCTACTTGTACTGTAAAATTGTCTCCCTCTTGCCTACAAACTCTTCCAAGAAAACTCTTAACTGCTTTCAATAACCTACCATCAATACCATACACTTGCAACATTTGCCACATAGCTCTCATCAAATGCCATTTCCCAATCCATAAATGAAACGAAAACTTCTTTATCGTTATATATATATAATATATATATATATATATTATATATATATATATATATATATATATATATTATATATATATATATATATATATATATATTATATATATATATATATATATATATATATATATATATATATATATATATATATATATATATATATATATATATATATATATATTATATGTCGTGCCGAATATGTAAAACTGATAAATTAGCAAGAAGTCATTTAAAATTAAGTCCTTTCTAAAAAAATTTCTTATACGTGCAAAGATATATTTTTTTTTCATTAATGTTAACGTAAAAAAATTTTAATTTCGCTCCTAAAGAATCTTAGAAAACTTACATAACCTTATTATAACAAGAACAATTTATTTTAACCTAACCAAACTAAATATATTTTAGATTTGTTTGCAGTAAATTAATACTAAACAAACACATTGAAATATATTTTTTCGTTAGGTTCAGAATGATTTTGGCAAAATTATATGTATTTTTTTTTTCAACAAGTCGGCCGTCTCCCACCGAGGCAGGGTGACCCAAAAAAGAAAGAAAATCCCCAAAAAGAAAATACTTTCATCATCATTCAACACTTTCACCACACTCACACATTATCACTGTTCTTGCAGAGGTGCTCAGAATACAACAGTTTAGAAGCATATACGTATAAAGATACACAACATATCCCTCCAAACTGCCAATATCCCAAACCCCTCCTTTAAAGTGCAGGCATTGTACTTCCCATTTCCAGGACTCAAGTCCGACTATATGAAAATAACCGGTTTCCCTGAATCCCTTCACTAAATATTACCCTGCTCACACTCCAACAGATCGTCATATATATATATATATATATATATATATATATATATATATATATATATATATATATATATATATATATATATATATATATATATATATATATATATATATATATCGTCATATATTATATATATATATATATATATATATATATATATATATATATATTATATATATACAGTGGACCCCCGCATAACGATTACCTCCGAATGTGACCAATTATGTAAGTGTATTTATGTAAGTGCGTTTGTACGTGTATGTTTGGGGGTCTGAAATGGACTAATCTACTTCACAATATTTCTTATGGGAACAAATTCGGTCGGTACTGGCACCTGAACATACTTCTGGAGTGAAAAAATATCGTTAACCGGGGGTCCACTGTATATATATATGTGCAAAACAACCACTCTGAAAAGAATAGAGAAATTCCAAGTGCTTTCGTGACTACTCACATTATCAAGGAACTATAGTTCCTTGATAATGTGAGTAGTCACGAAAGCGCTTGGAATTTCTCTATTCTTTTCAGAGTGGTTGTTTTGCATATTTTGAAATCACCTGTTTACTGTGATCTTATTGCATATATATATGTATATATATATATATTATATATATATATATATATTATATATATATATATATATATATATATTATATTATATATATATATATATATATATATTTATATATATATATATATATATATATATATATATATATATATATATATATATAATATATATATATATATATATATATATATATATATTATATATATATATATACAGTGGTCCCTCGTTGTTCGTAATTAATCCGTTCCTGGAGCCGTTACTATAAACGAAATTTACGATTTACGAATCAATTTTCCCATAAGAAATAATGTAAATACAATTAATCCGTTCCTGACACCCAGAAGTATTAAAAAAAAAATTTTTAACATGAAATATACACGTAGTACATAAACAATACAATGGGAAATGACGAATGAAACATTAACAGCATAACACTTACCTTTATTGGAGATTCTTCTTAGTGTATGGGAGACTGGAGGAGGAGAGAGAGTGGATTGTTTAGTTTGGAAGGGAATCCCCTTCCATCAACACCTCGGGTACCATTTGCTTTTCTGGGGTTGCTTCTCTTCTCTGTTTCTTAATGCCACTAGGACCACCTTGAGAGTCACAGGAGTCCTGTCTCACAAACTAACTGTGGAGAGAGCTCTGTTTCTGGCGTCTCTTTAACACTTCCCTAAAATGGCCCAAGACTTTGTCACTGTACATGTTGCCAACCTGGCTTGCAACAACCTTGTTAGGGTGATGTTTCTCCATAAAGCTTTCCATCTTACCCCACATAGCAAAAATCTCTTTAATTTCTGAAGAAGGCACCTTCTTCCATCCCTCTTCCTCCTCCTCTGCAGCAAGATTCTGAGCTGCGATGTGTTGCTCTTCCTGCTGAAGCTCTTGCAGCTCCTCAGTGGTGAGCTCTTCATTGTGGTCTTCCACCAATTCTTCCACATCCTCCAAACTCACATCCAACCCCCATGGAACTCCCCAGTGCCATAATTGATTTTACAACAGACATAGGCTCATTAGGGTCAGTCCAAAATTCTTCAAAATCCCTCTTGTCGACACAATCTTGCCACAATTTTCTCCAGGCAGAGTTCAAAGTCCTGGTAGTCACTCCCTCCCAAGCCATACCTATAAGGGTTATGCAGTGGAGGATGCTGAAGTGTTCTCTCCAAAATTCCCTTAGGGTCAAGTGAGTGTCTGTGGTCACAGTCAAGCACCTGTGAAACATTGCTTTTGTGTAGAGTTTTTTAAAGTTTGCAATAACCTGCTGGTCCATGGATTGGAGGAGAGGAGTGGTATTCGGGGGCAAGAACTTTACTGTGATGAACCCAAACTCCTCGAAAATTAGGTCATCCAAGTTTGGAGGATGAGCAGGTGCATTGTCATTACTAGCAGGCACTTGAGATCCAATTTCTTTTCCAGGAGATACTCCTTCACACTAGGGCCAAACACTTCATTGAACCACTCGACGAAAATTTCCCTCGTGACCCATGCCTTACTATTAGATTTCCAAAACACACACAATTTACTCTTCATAACATTGTTTTTCCTGAACACACTGGGATTTTCAGAATGGTACACTAGTTATGGCTTCACTTTGAAATCCCCACTAGCATTAGCACAGAACATTAGCGTCAGCCTGTCTTTCACAGGCTTGTGTCCTGGCATTGCCTTTTCCTCTTGTGTAATGAAGGTCCTCTTTGGCATTTTCTTCCAAAAGAGGCCTGTTTCGTCACAATTGAACACGTGAACAGGTTTCAGTCCTTCAGCCTCTATGTACTCCTGGAATTCATGCACATATTTTTTCAGCCGCCTTGTGGTCCGAACTGGCAGCCTCACCATGCCTTACCACACTGTGTATGCCAGTACGGTTCTTAAATCTCTCAAACCAGCCTTTGCTGGCCTTAAATTCACTCACTTCACCCATATTTGCAGGCAATTTCTTTACCAAATCTTCATGCAACTGCCTAGCCTTTTCACAAATAATCGAAGTCATAAGAGTATCTCCTGCTAATTGTTTCTCATTTATCCACACCAATAATAACTTCTCAACCTCTTCCAGTACTGGTGATCTCATTTTTGTCAGCATAGTTACTCCCTTTGCAACAACAGCATCTTTTATTTCATTTTTCTTGGCCACTATGGAACATAAGGTTGTGTAGGGTTTCTTATACATCCTGGACAGTTCGGCCACACTTGTACCACTTTCATATTGTTAAATGATGGTTTTCTTAAACTCAATCGTATTTCTCACCTTCTTTACCACAGGATTGGCACTAGGAGCTTTCTTTGGAGCCATGGTAGCTTATTTAGTACTTGCAAGCACTAAAATAAATGGAATATTATGAAATATTTCGCTGGAGCACGTGAGGGAACCTTCGCTCACTGGTAAACAATGCCAGACTGGCTGCCGCCCTGGCTCACGCCGTGGGTACGCGTCCCGGACGAACTACGACTGGCGAGTCAACCTATGAAAGCGAGTCCATGTTTATACGAAAATACCCCTATGATTGGCGAATTTTACGATTGCCGGGAACTACGAAAAGCGGGGAACCACTGTATATACATATGAATGTATATTTAGAATTCGCAGAACAGGCGAAATATTCACAAACACTAATTTCTGGTCGAAGGAGACTCGAACCTACGAACCTTGGGACAAGATACCCATGCTCTAACCTAACTAACAATGACAGCTAATTCAATTGTTTCTTACCTCCGCAGAAGGAACTCTCCACCGGGGAGCTGGTGGTGCTGAAGAGTGTGCAGTTGAGCTCCTCTGGTAATTACAAGTGTGAAGTTATCACCGAGGGACCAAATTTTCATACGGCCGACAAGATGGCTCCCATGACCGTCATCCGTGAGTATTACGTAGTCTCTGTTTTTTTACACGGTGTTATACAAGGTTGGTTTTAGGTTAAGGGTTGCTAACTGAGTTTGCAAGCTAAGAACTGTTACCTACATCAGCTAATTTGAGAGTATTTTTTTTTTTTGTTAGAAGATATATAGATATATATAGATAATGAACATGATGAAGTTGGAGCTGTCTGTTTGCCACGTCGTTGTAAGTACCTCTCTCGTATGTGCGGGTTATTTGTTTAGTGTTCCAGTCACAGTATTGGACCTTTTTTGTTATTTATTTATTCAGTGATTTTATTTTGCCAACTGATTTCATTATGATGTATGAAAATGCTCTAGACACGAGTCATCCTAGGAATAAATGATCTCAAAGGAATTGATGTTCTAGAGAAGGGTAAAGTCAGAGTGAAGTTGTTGCTTGCTGTCCATCATGTTATGTAGAAGCTCACTTCTCGCTGTCCTCGGTGTTGAGCCAATTGTGGTGCTCCTGTATTCAAGGCTCTGCTGAAATTACAGATCTATCTAGGCCAGGTTCAGGCGAATGATAAGTCGTCTTTCTTTGTTATCTATTCAGTCAGGAAGTCGCAGATGAGACGGGGGTACGGCAGTTCAAGAAAATGGAGCATACTCGTACTGAATCTTGCAACCTCTACTGTCGAGTAGTTAGGAAGCTATAAGCTTCCTAGCTTCTTCATTTGCAAGATTTAGAATGTGATTCTTCATAGTCTGTTTGGAGTTATATTTCACCCAAGGATATCAGCCTCGACCTCGGGTACCAACACTCCAATTCATTCTTACCACTCCTCCAGCATTGTCATTATAGTTTCTAGAGACCATTACTTGTGTTTACTCAGAAAGAAATGTGACCTATCATCATTTTCCCCTGGATGATTTAACTGTAAACTGGTGATTAATGTAACAAAGAGCAGCTGTTATTTCTTCTCTTGGATAAGTAAATGTCAGAGTACATTCGTCTGTATGTGCATGGGATTCTAGGATGAGCTGAAGGTTACTGAAGTAGACATTTCATTATAATGACCTCAGCGCACTTCCCTGTGGCACTCGTGCTTCAGTAGAGCGTCTTGTTGACTTTATCCAGTTAAGAACTAATCTTAGAGGTCTACCTTGAAGGGAATCATTGTTCAGGCAAAGTGCTGAGCCAGAGACTACTATTACTTGCATTTTTGCAAAGTTTCAGGTGCCATACTTATCCTAAAGTGCCCGCACTGTTCAGTGCTACTACACAGCACATCTGAGATTCACCCAGCAACTGGTGGCACATATTGGAGAGGTTTAACAGCAGATGAGCAGCAGAGTGACTTTTTCTGAAACAATATTGGCGATATTGAGGAAGAGAGTGGTAGTCCGTGAGATTATGTCACAAGAATTTTTTCAGCGATTGACTGGTCTGTTGTCGCAGATTTCTGCTTTATTATTTTTGTGAATTGGGATCAAATTCGCCTGTTTCCAAAGTGAAAGCTATTTACACTCTGCTGATACTATATGCCATTACCTAGCTTTGCCCTCAAACCAATATCGCCACAACTGACTCATTATTTATACTTCACGATATAGATGTCTGGTAGCTAAAACAAAGAATGCTTCTCAAGAGTGATACCACCTTTATAATGAAGTGCCTCAGCTAGTCAGTTCGCTCACTACAGGTAGACTCTTATCCAGTGCAAAGATTGGTACTTCTTTAAACTACTACATCCTATATCATTTATTTCATGTTACCATTCGTTTCTATTGCTAACTGACCCCTTGTTTACTCTGTATTAGGACTGACTGTCACTCGTGACGTAATGTTTTCTTATTAAATATCCTAAGATGTATGTATAAAGGTGTGTGTCTTTCTACAACATAAAAACAAAACATAATACCAACATAAAAAAAATACAAATAACCTGCACATATCTGTGGAAAGTTATGAGGACACGTCGGTCCATCGAGGACAATTGTGACCAGGCAGTGGGTCAGGGCGGACCAAACTGTCGTCATTACTTTCCTCTCCTAAGTACAGGATATTTGTTATTTTTTCCAGCCACGAAACTGTGACATTTTATCAGCTATAACATAACAGGAACTTTAACGACAAGCAACAAAATGCAACAATAACAACAAAAACAACTACAACAATAACATCAACAATAACAATATCAACAATAACAACATCAACACTACAAACATCAACGACAACAACAATAACAATTGCTCCGGATATAATCCTGGCAGACATCCCAGAGGAGAAGCCGCGTATCTACGGGACGAAGCATGACTACCATATAGGCGACACTGCTTATGTGACCTGCGTCTCTGCTGAGTCCCGCCCTCCTGCTCAGCTCACCTGGTTCATCAACGATAAGGAGGTAAGTAGATCCTGCTTCACCTGGTTCGTCAACAAGATGTTCTGTTCACAATGCCTGGTTCATCAGGGAGAAGGAGTTATATTCTCCTCTAGTTCATCAACATAAAGGTTAGGCTGCTAAGTTCACTTGGTTCCGTAAGGACAGGTAAGTGAATAATTCGTTTTCAAAACCGACAAGTTAATAAACGAGACATTTATAAAAACAGGTGAATCTGTCCACTTCTGAAGGTACATCAACGACAGAATAGTCCGATCACCTCATCGTCATCTCTGAATCTGAGAGAGCCAGCAGCAGGTGACAGACCCACTCTGCGCTATTCTGAGAAAACGTCCCCTCATTCCTTCAGTTGCAGCCTTGCAACATTGCATAGCTCCTCATGACGCAATGAGAAGTGTAAAAGTACTTGAGTTAAAGATTCCCCCCCCCCCCCCGTCCGTGGCTTGTCTTGCATATTGTCTTGCAAATTGTCACAGTTGCTCTTTGCTGATGGCACGGTGCTTTTGTGAGATTCTGAAGAGAAGTTGCAGAGGCTGGTGGATGAATTTGGTAGGGATGTAAACGAAGAAAATTAAAAGTGAATATAGGAAAGAGTAAGGTTATGAGGATAACTAAAATATTAGGTGACGAAAGATTGGATATCACATTGGAGGGAGAGAGTATGGAGGAGGTGAATGTATTCAGATATATAGGAGTGGACGTGTCAGCAGATGGGTCTATGAAGGCTGAGGTGAATCACAGAATTGATGAGGGGAAAAGGGTGAGTGGTGCAATTAGGAGTGTGTGGAGGCAAAGAACTTTGTCCGCACAAGCAAAGAGGGGAATGTATGAGTATAGTTGTACCAACACTCTTGAAAGGGTGTGAAGCATGGGTGATGAATGTTGCAACGAGGAGAAGGCTGGAGGCAGTGGAGATGTCATGTCTGAGGGCATTGTGTGGTGTGAATATAAGAACATAAGAACATAAGAACGAAGGAACACTGCAGAAGGCCTACTGGCCCATGCGAGGCAGGTCCAAGTCTCCTACCGGCTTAAGCCAATGCACCCAACCTAGTCAGGTCAGGTCACATTGACTTAAGGGAGGAACACGGCAACCGACCTGGTAGCACAAGCTATCAGGTCTAACTCACACCCACCCACATCCACTCATGTTTTTATCCAACCTATTTTTAAACTAAAACAACGTTCTGGCCTCTATAACGGTACTTGGGAGTTTGTTCCACTCATCCACAACTCTATTACCAAACCAGTACTTTCCTATATCCTTCCTGAATCTGAATTTTTTCCCAACTTAAAACCATTGCTGGAGTCCTGTCTAGGCTAGATATTTTCAGCACACTATTTATATCCCCTTTATTTATTCCTGTCTTCCATTTATACACCTCAATCATATCCCCCCTAATTCTACGTCTTTCTAGAGAGTGCAGATTCAGGGCCCTTAGTCTATCCTCATGGGGAAGGTTTCTGATACATGGGATAAACCCTTTGTCATCCTCCTTTGTACATTTTCCAGAAAATTTTATATCCATTCTGTAATAAGGTGACCAAAACTGTGCAGCTAATCTAAATGAGGCCTAACCAAGGATGTATAGAGTTGAAGAACAACCTGAGGACTCCTATTATTTATGCTTTTGATATGAAGCCCAAGGATTCTATTAGCTTTATTTCGAACACTTATGCACTGGTGTCTTGGTTTCAGATTACTGCTAACCAGAACTCCAAATCTTTTTCGCAATCCGTAATATTAAGATCTACATTATTTAGTTTATATGTGGCATGATTATTGTCCTGTCCAACATTTAGAACTTTGCATTTGTCTATATTAAACTGCATCTGCCACTTCTCCGACACTGCATCAGTCTATTCAAAACTTCCTGGAGTGCTCGAATGTCCTCGTCAGAATGAATTCGACGGCCTATTTTTTGGGGTCATCGGCAAACTTGCCGATGTCGCTCTTTATGCCCTCATCTATGTCGTTTATGTAGATTGTGAACAGCAGGGGGCCCAACACTGACCCTGTGGAAACCGCTCGTGACACTTCCCCACTCTGATTTCTCCCCATTTATGCAAACTCTCTGCTGCCTATTTTTCAACCAAGCCTCTATCCCGGAAAAAATTTCTCCTCCCATTCCATGTGCTTAATTTTCCTCAATAGTCTCTGATGTGGGACCCTGTCAAAAGCCTTCCTGAAGTCCATATAAAACAATCATATTCATTTTCCATGATCTACCCTCCTCAAATACCTTTTGTGAAAAAAGTTAATAAATTCGTAAGGCAGGAACGCCCCTTTGTAAAACCATGCTGAGATTCGTTGATTAATTTATGCTTTTCAAGGGGGCTACGAACTGCCTGGGCAATTATTATTCCAAAATTTTTTCCCTGGGGGGTTTAGGCTTTTTGGTCTATATTTCAAAGCTAAGGCCCTGTACCTTTTTGAAATGGGTATCACATTTGCCTTTTTCCACTTTCGGGCCCCCATGCCAGTTTTTAGTGATATGTTGAAAAGATTACCCAAAAAGGTGTGCTAAGCTCTCTTTACTTCCTTTAGAACCCTTGCATAATTCTCGGGCCGGGGATTTTTAGGTTTTAATTTATCTATTTCCCCTAAGGACCATGCCCACTTTTGACCCTAATAGTAACAGTTTATTATCGCCTGTTCTACAAAATTTATCATTACGGGAATAGTGGTATCCTCCGTGTAAAAACGAGAGGAAGTATGTTTTAAAAATTTTCCAAAATTTTCCTATCATGTCGTGAGCGCCCCCGGGGAATTTTTTGAGGGGCCTATCTTGCCCTGATCTTACTTCTGAAATCCCGAAAGAACCCTTTTTGGGTTAGTCTTCGTTCTCTTTGCAATTTTAAACCCTCATTTTTTTTTTTTTGCTTTCAAATTTCCCCTTTTTATTTCTCTTTTAACGAAATTTCGATTTCTAAATTTCCCCCTCTCCTTTTTTGTTTTGCCTATTATGCCTCTTTTGAAGTCAGATATTTTAATCTTTTGTTCATCCATTTAGGTCATTTTTGTTTGATCTGTTTTCCCCTATTTGGAACTAATTTGACTGAGCACTAGAACTTGCCGGGAAAAGCATCATTCGGCAACCATACCCCCCCTACCTGACCTTGTCAGGCATTCCGTTCACCCCACCTAAGAATTTTTCAGTCCTATGAAATCACCCAAAAGGAAAGCGGGCGGAGACTTGATTGCCATTATTAGGAATTCCATGAAAATTTTAAAACTGAGTGATTTGTGATCATTTTCCCCCCAAGTCTCATTAACCTCAAGATTTTTAATTAGTGTTCCCTACGGGCAAGCCCAAGTCAAGGGGTTTTTTCCCCCAGTTGGCTCTGTCACAACTGTTTTAAAAAACAATCCTGGATCGATAAAGAAAGTCACCTGACTCAAAATTTTCCCTGTCAAATGCCCAGTAAATCTGTCTTAGTTAAAATTTCCCCCTTAGCAAACATTTTCGTATGTAATCCTTACGAATTTCGTCCCATAGAAGTTTTGCACTCCCTATCAAGTTTTGGGGGCCCTGTAAATACACCCAAAATTAGTTTTTCTGGGCCCCTCGAGAGCTGAACCAAACGATTCAGTGGCTGACGCTTCTAATTAAAATCTTGTCTCACAACAATTTAAAATTGTCTTGACATACACGCTACTCCACCCCCCTTTTCCCGTTGACCCGTCAGTGGGGAAAAATTTTAGCCTTGTATGTGCATTCAAGGGCATTCTCTATCTTTCAGATTGAGCCCGGTCCCCCCCCCCCCCCCCCCCCTTTCCCCCCCCCCCCCCAAACCCCCCCCCCCTTTGTATAGTAAACTTTGGAGCTAGTCCCTTTGCCCTCTCTGTTCCCCCCTTTGTTTCCCTGGCCTGACTATTGTCTTTATTTATAACTTTATGCTGAATGCCTTTTATACATTTACTGTTTCCAAACCCAAAGGTTTTCAACCTGCTTGTTTCCCACACACACCCCTACCTCCACTTCCATCAGTTTAAAAACAAGGCATTTCACCAATGGCCCTTTTCAATCGATTGCAAGTGCACCACCCCGCCCCCGAGAATGTACCCCATCCCTTTATACATATCATGTTTTCCATAAAATTGTTCCCGTTGCAAAAAGGGGGGCTTTCCTTTCAGTATCTGTCTAGCCAGCAAATTTTAACCCAAATTTCCCTAACAACCATTATTTCCCCACTCCCCTTTTAGGCAAGATGCTACTTGATTGGGATCCTCCTTTAAAATTTAAAGGAAATCAATAGCTGACCCGTACTTACTAGCGCTTTCTCTCCTACCCCTTCCCCAAAACTTTCCCCAGCACTGAGACAGATAATGGGCTTGCCCATTACCGACATATATTATCCCGCCTGTTTACAAAGTCCCCAACACCAGCTCCAGGGGAAACCACTCTATTCTTATCTTTTATTCCTATTTAAAAAAGCACGGGCAATGATCTTTTCCCGAGAGTCCCAAACCCCAAAAATCGCTTACCTCCATTGCAGGGGCGTAGTACCCTACCTTTACTGGCCATGAAGTACATTCATCCTGAAAACAGAGAAGCGATTTCCTACCTTCAGACTTCACTCTTAACTTTCCTTACTCTGATGCGCCTTCCCTTTCTGTGAAACTCGCCACTTGTAGAGGTGCTGGCTGCACCCCACTGCTGGTACCCTTTCTGCCACCCCAACTACAGCCTCCTCACAGCGAGAGACAGACTGCACCTCGCTGCTAGAAGCCTCATTCCCCACAACTCCAGCCACCTCACACTCTCTCCCAGACCCATTGAGGTGGACCTTCAGCCTCCTAATCTCCTCCTGGAGAAGCAAGACCTCCTCCTTCAACTCTCCAACCCCAATTTTTAAAACACTGCAGAAGCAAGCCATGCTTTGTAACCGTCCACACTAATCCCCAAGGCAGCTCAGGGTCTGTGACCTCACGTGACGACTGACCACTGAGTACTCAACGACTGACCACTGAGTACTGACGACTGACCACTGAGTACTGA